ATGGTTTTGCTTTTTAAAGTGAAAGTTACTCTGTGGGCTTACGTTAGCTATATATTTAAAAATTTCAATAAATAAAATTAAAATAATAAAAGATTATTAATTATAGTTCAACTCAAGCTTACCTGGAATCAGACAATTTGACAGCTGTAAACTGCTCTGGAGGACTAGGGCCTTCATCCACTACAGGACAAAAAACATTTTGAAATAAATTTGACATTTGTTATAAATATACATGTAAAGATAGTCTACAGTTTTTTAAAAAAATGTATTTTTCTTCTAAAATTAAATGTAGCCCGGCTGGCATGGCTCAGTGGTTGAGCGCTGACCTATGAGCCAGGAGGTCACGGTTCAATTCCCGGTCAGAACACAAGCCCAGGTTGTGAGCTCGATCCCGTGTGGGGCATGCAAAAGGCAGCCAATCAATGATTCTCTCTCATCATTGATGTCTCTCTTACTCCCTCTCCCTCCCTTCCTGAAATCAATGAAAAAAATATATATAAAAATTAAATATACAAATATTACATTATGATGTAATTATAATGCAGTATTCATATTACCAAGATCTACTTTATCTTCTTATAAGTGCCATATTCGTTTTACATGCTTAATAAGATAGGTCAGCATGATGCTTATTTAGTCACTTCCAAGGTATTTTCTCTTTGTGTTTTAAAATGCAGTCAGTACATGGACAAACCATGTCATAATTAAAAAATTAAATGCTTTAATTAATTCAAACGATGGCCATTCAGACCAAAAGACATTGCTTTTTATTTCCTAATTACCTCATATCTCAATGCTTTCTCTGATGAGCTAAAAGGGAATGAGAAAACTTTAAATTGTTTACAGTGTACCAGGTTACTTTCAGCAAAAGGTCTGGAGAATAAAGGAATTCAAAACTTTGATTCAGCCACGTTTTCTTTTTCTTTCTACATATCATTTCAATTATTCATGTTGTTTTTGACTTCCATAGATATTCTCTGGAACTATACAACATGTTTTCTAATTTTTATATTAGAAAGAGGGAGTTGCCAATAAGAGGTAAATGTTGAGGAAAGAAAAAAGTGGAAGAGTCAAATGTAATAGATTCATTCCTTTGGAATATGCTTGGGATTAGTTAGATGCTGGCCTAAGTGAACAAATGCAATAAAATGTATACTTCCGTGGCCTTCCTTTTAATCACTTCTATCAGACACAAACCTTCTTTATGTGGAGCTCCCAGTGTAAAAAGTCCATTGTCAAGTGCATGTATGTAGGTTCCTTTATCCATTTCAATAGCTATGGTTCCTGAAATTTCACCAAAGTTTGTTACTGTCCACCAGATTCCTAAAAAATAAAATCAATATTTAAAATTTGTATTTTAGATTTGACACAAGGTTCTTACTTATTGCTATTGTTATAACTTACTTTCTAAAAACATTATTTTGCAGTTCTCAGAAATAATAGAAAGAAATCTCATATACCCTTTACTCACTTTCTCCCAATGGGAACCTCTTGCATAACTTTGCTACTGATAGCACAACATCAAAACAAGGACATTGGCAATGACACAATCCATTAATTTAGTAATGTCTCAGACTACAAGCTCAATATATAGGAACCAATTACATATCTATATACAATTGAACAATAAAAATTAAAATTCTATTTATAATAGTGTAAAGTTATGAAATATTTAAGGATATAAAAAAAGACATGGATGACTGCTACACTCTAACTGCATATTATTGAGAGTCAATGTTGTTAAGATGTTGAGTCTCCCCAAATGATCCATATTCAATACAATTCTCCCGAAAATCCAACAGGCTTTACTGTAGAAAGTGATAAACTGATGATAAAATTACATGTAAATGTAAAGGATCTAGAATAATCAAAACAATCTTGAAAAAGAAGTGTAAAGTTGGGAGACTCGTATCACCTGATTTTAAAACTTGGTTAAGTGATAGTAATCAAGACAAATATATCCGTGAAACAATAGAAACAACACACAACTTGATGGAACAGAGTCTAGAAAAGACCAAGACATATAAAATCAATTAATTTTTGACAAAGATACCAAAGCAGTTTAATGGGGAAAGGAAAGTCTATTCAATAGTGCTGCTGAAACAACTGGATACAAACCTGGAAAATCATACCCCCAAACCCCGATCCTTACCTCACACCATACCCAAAATTAATTTGAGATGGGTCATAGATCTAATGTAAGACCCCAAACTATGAAGCCTGTAAAAGGAAATATAGAAGACTATCTTTGTGACCTTGGGGTAAACAAGAACTTCTTAGACTGGAGAAATAAGGTGACTGTCATAATAGAAAAGAATTAGGTTTTATAAAAATCACAAACTTACACTTATCAAAAAACACTTAAGAAAATGAAAAGTAAAACCACAAACTGAGAGAAAAGAGTAAGAATAGAATTTTAATACTTTCTTGGTGGGAGGGTAAGGTGGTACAGGCACTTTAGAAAATTTGTGGCAGCTTTTTATATAGTTAAATATTCACGTATCCTTTGCTCTTTTTTCTTACTACAGGAGATAATTTATATAGATGAGTTTAAAGGATAACCTATCATTTAACTCATATAGCTAAATATTCACCTACCCTTAGATATTCTACACCTAGATATCTACCCAAATATGTACCTTAATTGTAGAACTGTTGATTTGCTATTTCAAAAAAATGTGAGATTTTTTCTGGAATATTAGCTTTATACCATATCATATAAAATGTAAAGGAACCATAACTTATGAAGTTTCAAAATGCAACCTGCCAAGTTTTAAAAGAAAGAACTGCTTTAAAGTATAGGTGTGGAAAGGATGGAAGAATTAACTGGAAAGCAGGCTAGTTAAATATATTTGGGCCAATTTATTTCTGTTGCCATTTATAGGCTACCTTGATGTGTAATTAAGATTTTCATTAATTTCACTGTATACAAAGTAATTATTTTCACTGTGAATATATTTCTTTTAGGGATATACAAGTCACTAGTTTAAAATGCATACATGTTCTAAGAAAATAAAGCAAGTCATTGAGTAACATTGTTTTGTTCAATGATGTGACGTTTAAAGTTGATGAGGAAAAAAAAAATCGATTCCCTGATGGGACCAGTGTGTGTGAAGTCTGCACATTCTCCCCACGTCTGTGTGGGCTTTCTCTGGGTACTGAGGTTTCCACCCACATCCCATCGATGTGCCTGTGAGGTGAACTGGCGTGTCTCAACTGTCCCGCTCTGAGTGAGTGTGGGAGGGTGTAGGAGGGTGCCTGCGATGGAAGGACGCCCTGTCCAGGGCTGGTGCCTGCCTTGTATCCTGAGCTTCAGGGATAGACTCTGGCCACTGGCAACTCTGAACTGGAATAAGGGGGTTGGAAAAGAAGGCTCTTACTTGTTCATATTCATCTTTCTTAAGTGTATGTATAGCTCGTATTTATCTTCTGTTTAATATTAGAGTATTCTGGGTCTTTATGTAGAAGTTTGGTGATGTTTTTGTGACTAAAAATATGCTGAAGGAACTTAACTCTCGTTTATATCAATCAGCTATGGTAAAACTGGTTTCATTATACCATACATCATTTCACTTACAGTTCAGTTTCCAAGAACCTACCGACAACTTTAAGTTAGGACTTACTATACTCTGTAAAATATATTTGGTTAAATATTTATATGAGGACTTGAATCTGGGCTAGTAAAAGTAGTCTAATGGTGTCTATTAAATCAGAGCTGTTTCCTCTCTCCTGTGCTTTCATCTGATAATGACGGAAAGGCATCGATGACACCTACTGTGCTGGAGAATAAATCTACAACCATAAATAAGACTTGAGCACTTTGAGATAAATATGAATAGGTCATAAACTGCTCCTACTTTCTTTTTACTATTTATGTCTAAGTAGGAAGATATTTTTAAAGGGATCCCAACCAGTGCTAACTTTTCTCGGAATTTAGAAAACTTACCAACAATATCAAGTTGGGTTTCTTCATCATCTTCTCTTTTTCTCTTCTCTTTGCTCTTTTTCTTCTTACTACAGGAGATAATTTGTATAGATGAGTTTAGGCATACTGATTTGCATTTTAAATACCACAAGGTGGAATATCAGAAGAATCTTTTAAGCTGTACATTGGTTTATAAATTATTAATTTACATCGACATGGCTCTTATTTCTGATCATGTATATATAGTGTTACTGTTAAGAGCACACTCGGGAGCCAGCCCGCCTGATTTTTGGATGCTGATTATATCACTTCCGAGCTCTGTGATTTTGGCAAATTTGACTGAGTCAGTTTCCCAACCTTTAAAATAAAGATAATAATTTGACCCAACTCTTAAGGTTATTGTGAGGATTGAGAGTTAATGTGCTTTCATGTGTTGCTGGTGAGAATGTAAAATGGCACTGCCACTTTGGAAATTAGTTTGGGGTTCCTTAGAAAGTTAAACACAGTTACCATATGACATAACAATTCTACTCCTAGGTATAGACCCACGAGGAATGAAAACATATGTTCATAACTGTATAAGAATATTTACTTCTACTCTGATCTTTATTATTTCCTTCTACTCTGGGCTTTGTTCTTTTTCAAGTTTCTTTAGTGTAAAGTTAGATAATTCACTGGGGCTTTCTCTTGTTTCTTTCTCTTTCTTTTTTTTATACTGTACTAGGATAGAATGAACCACCTCAGTAGCTTCTGAGGCTAATACATTTCTATCACCACAATTACTTTAGCAAACCTGGTTCCCTTCACTTCTGCAACATCATGCAGAGTTAGTGATCGAGTTTGCACTTTTCTTGTTTCTTGAGATAGGCATGCAATGCTATAAATTTCCCTCTTAGAACTGCTTCCCTGTGACCCACAGATTTTGGTTGTTCTGTTCTCATTTTCACTGTATAAGAATATTTGCAGCACTATTATTCATAATACCCAAAAAGTGAAAAAACCCAAATGTCCATCAACTGTTGAATGGATAAACAAAATGTGTCAGTCATAGATACTACATTCACAATGGAATATTATTCAGCTATAAAAGGAATGAGTATTGATACATGCTACAACACAGATGGACCTCGAGAAAGTTTTGCTAAAAGCCAGATACAAAAGGCTGCATGTTGTATGACTACATTTATGTGAACTAATCAGAACAGGCCAATCCACAGAGACAGAAAGCAGGCCAGTGACTGCCAGGGACAGGGAGGGAGACCCGGAGGAGTGAACGCTTCATGGGTAAGGGGTTTCCTTTTGAGGTGATGAAAATGTATAGCAACTAGACAGTGGTGACCCTTGTGAATATACTAACAAAACCATTGAACCGTACGTTAAAATATTGAATTTTATGGGAATTATATTGCAATAATTTAAAAAACCCAGGGGCGATTTAAAAAAGTTAATATGCAGCGTTTACAACAGTTGTTGGCACATAAAAAGTGCTACATAGGTGTTAATTATGCTCAGTAGTTACGATCATTATAGGACACATTTGTTTGCGTTTTCATGATAAAGTTCATTTTCAGAAGCGAAGTCTCCCCTCCTTCCGGGAATTCACACAGTAAAAGCTGCAGACCTATCCCAGGGCAGTGGCTTCAGCTGCTCCCCGACACTTTCTTCCCATCTCACCCAAGAGAACCCAAAACTGGGTTTTAAATCTCCGCGACCAGGAGGAAACGCTAACGTGTGTCAGAACAGTCAACCCAGCAAACCTACCAGTTAAACGAGGTGGAGATGGGGGCGGGCAGATACTTTTTCCTAAAATCTCCATCACCCTCCGCCCTCCGCCTGCTCGGGAGGCTCTCATGACAGTATTTCCTGCACATGTTCTCCTACTTCATCCTCATGACAGTCATTTTAGAGTATCATTAATCCCTCTTGCGTGGATCAAGATTCGCTCAGAGATATTAACGAACTTGCCACAAATCACAAAACTGGTCATTGGTGGAGTTCCTACTCGAGCCCCTATCCCTATCCAAACAGGGTGGAGGGAGACGGCGGTGAAAGTAACGGTCCCCAATGTAGGGAGCTGTGACCTGAGCCCCCAGACCGCCGCGGGGAGGAGTAGGGGTGGGGATGGGGCCACACGTGAGGCTGCAAGGCCGCTGGTCCCGCCCTCCACCCCCTC